ATAAAGTGCTGTATTACAGTTTTAACAGTTTCTAATAAGTAAGTAAACCTTCAGCAACAATATAAGCTATATAACTACCCTGGATCTGGCTTCAAGCTACACTTAATCCAGCAGTCCTCTCAGTCATATTGCTCTAGTCTCAACGAGTAGTGATGGGCGATTCCGAGTCCGGAGTATTCGATCCTTCGATTCCGAATGGAATCGTACTCGTATCGAAAGAGAAGTAGGAATCGTTTGAAACGATTCCGAATTAAACCACACCCAACCACACCTTTTAATATTAATAATAGTTAATAAATCAGCAGTTAATACCTTAATTATTGCTGTAATTGATACCACGTGGCTTTGCGCATGCGCAGATGTAGTCTCGGAATCGGTATTCGATTCCATCGATTCCAGTCTCAGAAGTATTCAGAATCGGAATCGAATGCAAATTTCTGGATTCGCCCATCACTATCAACGAGCCGGGGAAGGGGCAGAGTCTTACAAGGTTCGTCCGCACCTGCTTTCATTAATTTGAATGAGATCACGTGATCTGTTTCCAATCCCTGTTACTTAGTAATACAATCTATGGATAAAGTGAAAGCAAGAGAGAACACGAGGAAGAACAACTTTGGACACGAGCAAAAATTTTTGGCCGAGTGACACATCACGTGAATGAGGTTTTATACCTTTGAAAAATTGCTAAATTATTAATAATTAATGAGATTCATTGGCCAAATACATTGTCATATATTCACCTCACCATGACGTGGAATCTGAGAAGTATTGCAATTTCTCTCAATAAAGAATTCCACTAGGTCAAAATGGCCACCCATTGCTGAGTACAGTAATGCACATAGGCGGTTGCAGGCCTGGGCATTAGGGGGCAATGCCCAGGTTGACTTTTTGACCAATAATTATATTCATGATTCTGGTGTGGGCATCCAGTGTAAACTGTGGTAGTTCAACAGGCTTTTTTGTTGTTTTATGCTAAGAAATCATCTCAATGAAGTTATAGATCAGTATTTTCCATTTTCCTTGCAAAATTGTATGGAACCACACCCACTCCACACCCACTAATTATTGATGCCCAGGTCAAACCAAATTTATGCAACCGCCCATGGTAATGCAGTGTTATTGCTATTGTCTGGTTGATCAGGAGGAACGTGACACATGTCTACTAGATATTGTACTATAGATAAGTGCCCTTTATAGGATGCTATGTGTAAACTAGATAAACTATTATCATCACCTGTATTAGGATTAATACCACATTGATGGATGAATTGCTGAAGGATCTCTATGTGTCCACCATATGATGCAGAGTGCAATGGAGTCCAACCATGAAGACCACGATGATATGTGCTATAACCAAACTTGTTAAGAAGCCATTGTACTTCATCTTTTAATCAGTCCTCTCCAAGCTGCTTCATGTAATGGTGTACTGGTATTCTCATGCCATAATGGATCACACATATCTAATTAAATGAATATAAAGGTAATATCACATACTTACACAATATTGAATTCACCAATGGCAATATTAGAGAAGTTGAGCTGTGCTTGTTGCTGTGACACCTAAAGGTGATAAAAAAATATTTAAACTAACACTAGCAGTGGATTACAAACCTCATTAATATTATAAGAATATTCTCCACACTTCAGCTTAGAGATACCGTCAATACATGCCAGGTTTTTTAGTTGCTCTTCGTGTAAAGGGAACAATATGAAGTAT